GCTCCCACCTCCCCATCCATCCATCCATTGAATAGACCAAAGCCAAAAGGGGAATTGTCCCTGCACAAGTGAAGGAGGTCTCGAACACTCCTTTCTTTAAACTCATCACATATCTACCCATCTCCTAGTAGCAGCTCGCTATGCAATGCATCTATTCTCTTGATAGCGAATGCACCACGGCAGTGCTTAAGCGCCAAAGGCAGCACACGCACAGGAAAAGAAACACACACAAGGACCAACACAGATGAGACGTGTTCTGAAGTCTGGTGGGTGCACTTGGCACTGGTAGCATTGTATCCAATGATGCATTTTGGGTACACAGCTTCTAACTGGCCTGCCTGCCTGCAGTGGTCAAACAGGTAGCACAGATGCAGTGATGTGGGTTTGCACCCAGGATTCATTTTGTGGGTAAGAAATGTACCCATGGACCATCAGGCGGGATACCAGGTAGACAGAGAGCAGGAAAGCTGAGTAGCTTGCTGTTCTCTCTGTGGACATCTGTGAGCATTAGACCCATCTAGAATGGTAGGTTCCTGGCATGCCCTCATATTGTTCAAAAGCCTTGGGACTGCTGGGCTGTAGGAGCTGAATTCAATAGGCAGGTGCTACAGCTCCAGTGCCACCAAAGCAGGGGCCTGCCTTATTGAGCTGGGAATGTTCTTGACCTGGTCATTTTATGGACAGCTGTGGTCTGTGATTCTCTCTGTCCCTATATAAAAACAGCCTGAAGCATTGCTAATGGTTGCTGCCATATGAAACTACTAGACAGGTAACTCCTGGAGCTTGAGATAGCATTAGCTCTGGGTGGTTATTCTAGCACTTATCCTTCAGTCTCTGGTTATACAGCTGGTGGTGTCTTCCCCTGGCTGTGCTGGGATTGCAAGGTGACTGATCGGAGCGCTCTCAGATTGCATCTTCACTTTCTAAAGTGTCATATAGCACCTCAGGCGGTGAGGTGAGAGAGAGACAGGGCGAAGGTGAGGAATAAGATCCATGGCGTTATAGCTAGAAGTGACTAAGCTTTGTTGGGGAGCTCACTGAGTCATCTGTGTTCAGCTAGGGTAAGAAGAAATCCAGCAGAGCTTTGTTCGCGGAAAGAGAATGGTCTTTAGAAGGAAATCAACGTTGCCAACTGCATCCCTTTAAAAACCATGAGCCAGGCTCTGGAAATTTTCAGATTGACTCCAAAAAGAATAAAAGGTAAATAACAGCAATGAAAATATTGGGATTTCTTCCTCTGCCTTTTGGTTCTCAAGCTTTTTGAGACCATACTTTCAAACTGGTCTCTATAACCATGCAGGCTAGAAAGACTGACAAACCAGAGAATCTGGTTTAATAAGGTGATTCCAGGAACAGAAGCTTTAAGTAAGCATCAAATAGCGAGCGACTCAAGGTGGAGTCATGAGCGCTGGCAGTGCAGGGGACTGGCATAGGAGTCTGTCTTCACAGAAAGTGCCTATGGTAGAAAATATCCTATTACCCAATGCTTCGTAACTAGGCTGAATAGCAACGTTATAGAACAAGCTGTGACTTGGCCTTGGGTTCCCCTGTAGCTAAAATCTGGCCCTAATTCACCTTTTATTTGGCCTTCTTGCTTTCCATTCGGCTGCTGCTGGCTCCTTCTTTCCCTGTGGACCAATTCCAGCTATTTCCACGAGACCTGGACTTGGCCTTATAGTCTTTTTTGTGCCTTTTTGCCTGATGCTGAAGCCATTGGTGAAGGAAACTTAACTCCATGAGGCTCCCCACCTTGAAACAGCCTGCTTCTCTCCCTTTTTTTAATTCGAACCCCGGGGTCAGAAACAAGTATATGCATAAGGTAAATGCTATTATTGTGCAGTCTCCCTTTACAGCTAAAGCTGCCATGTGTCGCCTCAGAAGTGGCTGAATTTCTGGATGCTTATAGCTACATCTAAAAACTCCTTTTGCAGGAAAGTCTCCCCATTCATTTCAACGGGAGCTGTGTCCAAGTAAAGACTTTAGGCTTAAAGCCGTCATTGCTAGAATCAACAAGCTACTGTTGACCTTTTGTCCATGTGGCTTGCAGAGGGAATGCATGTTATAAATTGCCACATACGGAGGTATGAACTACATGTACTGCTGCGGTACAGTGCCCTGTTCTGGGTGCCCCTCTGCAGCCAGAAATACAAAAGAGCTGGGCTGATTTTTATGTGCGATCTCCCTTTGCATGCAGACAATGCCTGGAAGGACCTCTGCATTCTTGCTCCCCTGTAGATGTTTGCCACGGGACAGCCGGTGGCTGGAACAGAGACAGCAAAAATCCTTCTGTGTTGATGCATTTTCTGGGGGCTAGCACCTGTCCCGTGAAATTGCTGTTCTTTGCCTGACCTGCATGAAACTGGCCCTGATGGATTTGTGGCAGGGATCACCATTGCAGCCCTGCTCTCCTTTTGCTTCCCAGCCCTGGGAGGCTCTGATGCAGAAGGGTATGCTGCATTGCTTCTACCTACCACTTGCATGCCTACCACCCACTTGTAGCATCTGAGTGCCTTGCAACCTGTACACCATTTATCTGGGTGCCTCTGGGGGGTAAGGAAGTATTCTCCCCATTTGGCAGATGGACAAGACTTAGTTGCCCAGGGTCACATGGAAAAATTTGAGATGCAGCAAGGAACTGAAATCGGATCTCATAACACTCATGGTTAGGGCCCTGAATGCTGGACCATCCATCCCCTAGGTCATGGGTAACCAGCCTGTGACACAGGGGCCACAAGTGGCACTGGCAGCCTGTGCGTGGCACATGGCAGACAGGGGAGCGGACAGGCAGCACAGCAGCAGATAGGATGGGAAGCAAAAAGCAGAGCAGCAAATCAGGCAGGGAAAAGAGATTGGAGTAGCATTTGGAGAGTACAGGCCTAATCTGTGACATGCCTGCCAAAAAGTTTGGCCCCCACTTCTAGGTGTAGGTCCTTCAACTACCCCTTAAGAAGAGCCACTGCCCTAAGGGTGGCATTCACTTTGAAAGAAGCGGTCTCTGAACAGTCCCCAAGTACATCTCCCTCCTCTGCGCCCAACCAGAACCTCCCACAGGTTTGCCAGCCCCACTCACTGTCAATAGAGTTGTTATTTAGGTAGAGGTGCTCCAGTTTGGAGCTGATGAAGGGGACGCTCGTGAGGTTGTTGTACGCCAGGTGCAGCACCAGGAGGTTGGTGAGGTTGAAGCAATTCTTATGCAGCCCTTTGTCGGTAATCTTGTTGTAGTTGAGCCTGAGGAAAGCCAGGTTGGGAAAGCTCTTGAAATACTCGCTGGGGATGTCCTCAATGAAATTCCTGTCTAGGAAGAGCTGATGGATGGCACTGGGCACCCCTGGGGGCAACTTCCGCAGGGTGTTATGGGCAAGATTGAGCTGCATGAGGTTCTTCAGGCCCTTGAACGTGTTCTTGTTGAAGTCCATGTCGTCCAGTTCGTTCTTGTGGAGGTCCAGCAGCACCAGGTTCTGCAGCTTGTTGAAGACCCCGGCGGGGATCTTGGAGATGTGGTTCCTGCTCAGGCGCAGCTGCTCCAGGTTGGGGGGCAGGAAGTTAGGCACCTCCCGGAGCTTGTTCTTCTCCATGTAAAGGAAGACCAGATTGTCCAGTTTCTCCAAGACCCGCTTGTCCACCTTCTTGATGCGGTTGTTGTCCAGGTTGACCCACTTCAGCTCTGTGGCATTCTTGAAGGATTCTTCCGGGAGGTCCTCGATGAAGTTGTTCTGAAGGTAGAGATAGTGGATCCGGGAGGGGATGATGGGCACCTTCCTCAGGTTGCGGCTATCGCAGTAAAGGGCGGAGGGGAAATCTGGGGGGCAGAAACATTCTCTGGGGCAGTCTGGGAAGACGGAGGGGGGGCCCGGCGGCAGGGGCGGAGGTAACTCCGTGGGCTCGACTGGCTCGGGTGGCCGGCGAGTAGGCTTCCGTGGAGGCTTCTTCCGCTGCCCGTTCACCTCAAAGATCAGCAAGAGGATGAGCGGGAGAAGCAATCTGAAGGCCACCTTCATGGTCCAGGTATTCACCTAAGGGGGAACAGGAAGAACAGCTTCAAAAACAGGCCGTATAGATCATAACCGTCCCCCAGCGCCGTGACATCAATGAACTTATCCTCAACATGTGGCCAGGAAGGATGAATAACCCCATTTGCAGATGAGATAGAGAGATTGGGGCATTGTCCAAGGCTACACAGAACTCGAACGCAAATCTGCTGAGGCCCTAGACTAGTGCTTTAACACAAGACCCCCGTTCTTTCCCCTTACAGGGAATCCACGAGAGAGCTAGTAATCCACTCATTGTGGGACAGCACCGCTTTCCTGCTTCCTTGTATTAGGGTTCCTTCTTGCCCACCTAGAGATGTATTTCTACATGGATAAATATGTGTCCATCATGGGTGAGGGGAGTAAGGTGAAGAGAAGGAGAAGTAGAAGGGGGAAATAAAGTCGAGGACCACAGCATACAGACAGAGACAGACAACACAACATGGGGTGGTCCTGAATAGCTCTCATGTGAGTGAGACAGCCACTCGCTCACACGAGCACCTGTTTTCCTAAGTTTCCCCATCGCTCTCCCACCTTGTGTGACAGAGGCAAGATGCCCAGAAGAGATGAGCGTGCAGTATAAGGGGTGCTTGCCCAACCTGGGAGTTGCCTGTGGTCCCCACGTCACCCTCTCATCACCGCACGGTACCCAACCACCCACCCGCTTTCCCAAAGAGGCTGCATCTGACAAACTGCGCCAAGTTTCTTTTTCATCAGAGAGAGCGCAAACAGCTCCATGAGATGCAAAACGCCCCCTCCGTCAGCGGAGGAGCAGGCTCGGTCCCTCCATGGATCGAGCCATCGTGTTTGTGCTCCAAACAGCAGGGGATGGGAATCGCACATTTTGCAGTTGGCTCATGTGCTTGTTAATCTGTTCCACTCACCAGGGGCCCATTTCACATGATGGCATTTTTCTTTGATGCATTTCCCTGGGGTCTTTTCCTCCATGCTGGAACACAGGAGGAAAAGGCACCGTTCCCCTTATTCTCCATGCTCCTTTATAGGGATGTCTAAGGGAAGTTCGGGAGGGGCAGGGGGTGGAACGTGGCCTCACAGGTATTCACGTGGATGCCAGGGCATCACACACTTGGCTTCATTTGGGATTAGCAGACGCCCCTGGAAAGTGCAGCCCAGCTCCAAACCAGGGCTGGGTTTGGGGAGAGGCCTGGATTTGGATGGAGTGAACCCAGTATGATTTTACATAGCAGGTGATCTGGGGAGTAAGGAAAGGTGCTTTTGAGTCCAGATTTGAACTCATCTGGTAAAGATGTACTGAGATAGCGTCGCCTGGAGCAGTGGATTTGAAGGCAACCCACAGAATAAGTTGGGCCAGAACTTCAGCTGAGAGATTGATGTAGCGCCTGCACTGACCGCAATGCAGTTCCAGCTTACTCCCACTGCAGATCTGCCTTTCAAATTCTAATTAAACACCTCTAATTACTGCCTCCCCCTATCGTGCCTCTTCCTCCCACTCCCATGAAACAACTTTGCTCCAGAGAGGTCTGATGGAACGGGGTCAATGGTAAACTCAATGCAGCTTTGCTTGATTGCTTTTCTATTCTGCTTTGCTCTTACAAGGAGCCATCCATCATAGCAGAGAACAGAGGATTCGCCACGGCCCTGATGCAGCAAAGAAAAGAAAAGAAGGGAAGGGAATCAGTTAACAGATGTAATAGGAAAGGCAAGGTAGGAGTCACGTCTGATGATCCGTCTCCATTAGTGGCTGCGTTGGATGTGTTTTTGGAAGGTGGATAACTCACATGATGCATAATTAAAGGCAAAGCTACCCAAACAGAAAGTTTAGCCCCAAATCCAGGCAGCTCCTGCTTGGTTTCTCCCTTGAAGCATCAGGCTAATAGCCCCTAACGGGATCTGTGGTTTTTCATCATTAGATCTCTGCGTGACAAATGACGTCCTAAGCCAACTACACCCACCCTAAACCAATTGCTGTTCCATCGGGCTCCCAATGCCCCAGGCTCCTCATGTGTCAAAATGAGTTTGCAGTAATTTCATTTATTAAATAGCTAGCGAGAAGGAAGCTACGCAAAGGTCTCGAAGCTACAAATAGCACAAGGTAATATCTCCAATAAAGGAGAATATAATGGACAGAAAAACAGAGCGAGAAAGGAGAAAATATACCCAGAGGTGAGGATGTCGATGAGAGAGAGCCAGGGTGGGGGTTGTTTTCTTGGTTTCTCAACCACACACGCCCCATTGTGTCTTTGAACCATAATTTCACTCTAATTTTTAAGGACATTTTATCTGCAGTGCCACCAAGTGACTGCCGTGAATCCTGCAGCACCACTCAGATTCATGAGGATGAAGACACGTGACCGGGTGGTAATTAACTTACGAAGCTACGGTTCTGTCAAGGAGCCCGGGTGCCATCCCAGCCTCGGCAAGGTGGACTGATTGCCCCTTTGGAAATAGGCACAGTGGATGCATCACTGCAATGCTTCATTTTGTAGCTGAGCCAGACAGCAATGATTCAGTAGCAAATTGGTGGACTGCTGAGATGAGGAAGACAGGAGCGGGTAGACGGCTAACAACGCTGGATGGTCTGGTAGTATTTAAGAGACGGGTCTGTGATGGAGGAGATCTGGGTTCAGTCCTCTGCTGCGTTGCAGTCTTCATGCGTGACCTTGGGCAAGTCGCTTCATCTCTGAGTTACAAGTTTTTCTGCCTTATAGAGAAGCTGGGAACTGACTGTTTGGGAGCTGTTCTTACATGATGAGATGGAGGCCAAGTAACAGCGGCACGGGTAAGGAGCAGACTCAGCAATGACAACGTTATCCTCAGCAGTGACATTATGATTTCTAGTTGCACAGTCCTGCATAAACAGCAAAGGTCGATTTTCAAAAGAAGCTAGCGTTGGGTTCATTGGGAGCAGAAACCGGCTGGCGCCAAACCCCTACAATTCCCACAGACCCACTTGACACCTCTCAGGAGGCAGGGTCATATGACTAGACCCATTTTACAGACTGGGAAGGTGAGGCACAGAGAGGCCAAGTTCACCAAAAATCACACAGAAAGGCAATGGCAGGGCTAAGAAGAGAGAACAGGGGTCTTTGGCCCCCAGTCACGTGCTCAGGCTGCATTGCCCGTGCCTCATCTTTGACAATGAGCACTGGCCAGGGGGGCTTCATTCTGGTGCTGCACCGAGGTTCCTGTGGTTCATTGTAGAAACCTAATTGGTTCCATAGGGAATTTGGTGCCGTGTACAAATATGCAAACCAGATTTAAAACAGCTCGTACATTTGAAGATGCTTGTCTCTAGCTTCCGGGGCCATGTTGCAGCAACGTACAAATGATGGGACTGCCGGGCTAGATGTAATGCAGCCCTGACTCCGACAGCCGCTAATTCACACACAAATCCTTGGAGGGGCATTGGGCTAATTGAATGGAGTGTATTTATATATTGTAATGCGATTGGGAAGTGCTGAGGTAGTCTTGCTCTCTGGCCCGCAGCAAAGCATTTCAATCCCGTACCCATCAGCAGGTTTGTATTCTGTTAGCACCTAGACAGAGATCGGGAGCCCGTTTTGCCAAGGGTGGGGCAGATGCACAGTAAGAGATAGCTCAGGCCTAGACCAGCCTGCCCTCTAAATGGGCAAGGGGAGGATCCCGTTCCCTCTTACTGAAGGGGGTAATGAGATGCAGAGACACAGTGTGACTTTCCCACAGTCCCCGAGCCAGGTCTGAGAATTGACCCTCGTGTTCCTGAATGCCGGGTCAATGGCCTGACTGCAAAAGCAACCCTCTTCCTGGTACCAGCCTGCCCACATGTGCCCTTATACCTCTGCTCGGCGGAGACCATCACAAGCTCTCTCCCCCCTGAGCTTTAGCTCCCTTTCTCCTCCCCCCTTGTTAAATGGGACCCATCTCCTCTGCTTTCACCCTGGCAAAGCAGGGATGTACATGCGGGTTTTCTGGAGGAAGCGAAGGGGCTGAGGAGCCCCCAGGCAGTGACGGTCAGGGCTGCGCCTCTGCCCTGGATCTTTTGGAGGTGCGACAGGAGGTGTTCGGCGTGCGCAGCAGATGCCTCAGCCTATTAGTCAGGCTGGCTCAGACTTGTGTGTCATACAGGCACGAACGCAGCTGAGCTTGACAGGCTGTCTGGGCAGCCAGAGGAATTGCGGCAAAGGGAAGAGAGCTCAGGAACACACAAGGGACGGGGGGAGAAAGGAATACAATGAGATGAAACGGGGAACAGAGATCACAGGAACTCCCCACCGGGCCATACCAGGCATCCATCTAGTGCTGCGCTGCGAGCAGCAGAAGGAGAAACCCGGGGACTGCAAGAGGAGCAGACGTGCGCTGGCCATATCGCTCCCCAGCCTGGCAAGGAGGGATGCTGTGAGCGCATGGGGAAGATGGTGTGCAAAGAACCAAGCAGAACCATCTCCCTGAGCTTGGCTGAGCTGCCAGGGTGCATTGGGAGACTCAGGGAGACCGGGTTCGATGGGCTGTTTCCCACGCCCCATCCCAGTCACCAGGCTAAGGCACAAGCTCAGGAAGGTGCTGTTACTTCCCTCTGGTGCGGCACAAGAGGGACAGTTTTCAGGGATGAAAGGCGCTAGAAGCCCTTGAATGAAGAGCGAATAAAGCAACCTCTGCAGCTCAGTGGTCCCCATCCTATCCCCCACCACCCCCACTATATGGGGAAGTGGGCACCCCCTCATCCCTCGCCACGCTCATTAACAGACCCTGGTGCCACTCAGACTTCACTGCAAGTGTAGGGGAGCCCCACACAGGGACAGCTCAGAGGCCGGGCGTCAGGGATGTGCACACAACTGGTCCCCTTGGGTTTCACTCGCCCACTGGCAAACAGGGCAGCCACGTACGGTGCCCGCTCTGTGCCAGCGGCACAGACAGGGGCTGAGTCAGGGACGGCAAGGCCCCGTTCGGTCTGCGGCAAGGAAATGTCAACAGCGTTAGGCTAACAAGCAAACAGCGAGGTCTAACATGGCTCAGAAGTGGAACGG